GAGCATAACCTATCAAAGGTTTTATGTACCGATCCACTCCACCACATGGTATGATATTATCTGTTTTGGGCCCGAGCCGGCATGGTTTTGTTTTTGGGTTTTATCCCAAAAGGCCTCATACCAATTAGAGATAACTCCACCACGTAAAAACACTTCACATTTCCCTTACGTAGGTGGTGTGAGACTGTGCACCTGTAGCTCGCTCAGTGTGGTAGCATGTCGTGCCTCTTGCACTCTCCCACGGTATACCCACCCACAAGGTCGCCACATTATAGGTCCTACTTTAACTTTCTTAGGAGTATGAACTGTAACCTTAGTTAAACACCCACACACTTCTAAGAATTTATAGTAAGGTTTTCGACCTTTCCATAATTCATATAGTGTCGCCTTAGTTTCTTTTGAGGTATTTTATTGATAACATAATTTGCGGAAAACAAAACTTCCCCCACAAATTCTGAGTTAAACCAAAACTTGTCAACATAACATTCATCATTTCTTCGTGAATGATACCATGTTCTGAATAAATATCAGCAAATGACGTTTCGTATTCACGAACTCTGTCATTTCTTAACACCTTGATTTTTTTGTCAAGTTGATTGTCAACCTCATTTATGTAATGTTTAAACATTTTTAAAGTTTTATCTTTGCTTTGTAGCAAATATAGATAACATCATCTTGTGCAATAGTTGGCACAAATTTAGAATAATATAATATACTTCATAATATCATATTACAAAATTAAAATAATTCAACCAATATTGAATTATATAAATAATTCAATAATCTACTTATATAACATGTTTCAATTTCACATAATATTGAACACATCAATATTTAGCTTATTATCATATAATAATGTATATAATATTATTTTATTATATCTCAATTATTAGTATAATCTCTACTTTTTTATATCTGAAATAGAAGTATATAATAAATTCTATGCAAAGAAGAATCTGTCTTAAGATTGTTGGTAAAATATATGTTTCATGTGACTTTTAAGGTATAACAACCCTTATACTAATATGATATGAGATAATTAACAATATGTTAAGAAATGATTAATTAAATATGCAACTATATATTTAATTAAATATGCAAAATAAAACAATAAATTAATAAATAATAAATAAAGAACCTGGACCGAGGTTAGTATTGATACTATGTCCTTAAGACAGATTTGCCCCGCTATGGTGCTAACGGACTCAGTGACGTCTATCACCCAGGATACAATGGTCTACATCCACCAGTAGCAACACTACAAACTCGTGGATACGGCGAACCTCCTCCATGTAATACTTTCTCTGACTCAAAAATGCATCTATACTATATAAATGCTGAATTGGATGCAATCTGAACCAAATGGTTCGGACCAATCTTAATATGGCTTGATGAAATTCGATTAGGGTATAAGTGACTTCGACCACTTGACCTATGGCTTGAACCCATTTGGGTTAGGTTCAAGTCTAGAGAGGGAGAGAGAGAAAATTGAATTGAACAAAAACAAATGGCAGCCTAAGGGGGTATTTATAGAAATAAAAGTGCCTTTTTTGGATTGGGTGTGTCTCTTTATCATTAGACACAACCATTTATATGTGTCTCTTCATCATTGGACACATCCTTCCAATTGGTTGCAATGGTTCACATGGTGTCTGTTCACCAATAGACATGTCCACTCTAATAAGTTGCAACCCTTTAGAAACAGATGCAACTCTTTAGAACACAGATGCAACCCTTTTGAAATAGATACAACCATTTGAAAAAAAAACTAACTTTCAATTTAAATTTAAAAACCAACTACCCATTTAAATAAGCTCAGTCAAAAAATAAAGGCCCAATTCAAAATTCCATTTAAAAAGAATAATCGGACTTTACAATTAGGCCCAAGCCCAAATCTAGCTTATTTAAATTTCAATTGTTTTAAACATTTTTTCAATGTGGGACAAACATTTCCCATATTTTGCATACCCATTTAGGCTTATCAAAATACCACACTTTGGAACTAATTTCTCATTCACCCGGAAACGGATTTGAGAAAATAAATATATCACGTTCATCTCCTTGCGGAGAGAAACGCGCTCGTCTAGAGATCCACAAAAAAAATTCTTAGCGGAATCTATTCCAAATCTCATCCAAAGTTTATGTTTTTAATACCTCCGTTTCCAACATATATATATGTGTGTGTGTGTGTGCGCGCGCGCGTGTGCTAACATTGATATGTCCTATAAAAGATTAATCTTATGCTAGCAATTTAAGGTCTCTAATACCTTGGCAACTCAAACATGTAAGCATAACATATGATGATTAATATAGGAAATAAATCATACACTACTTAGACAAACATTATACATAAGACTAACAAGTTATAATGGTGAATGCAATACAAGAATAATGGAAATTAAATCTCAATGAAGTTAACATTCAACTATCATCCTAGCATATAAATAATAAGCTTTCAAGTTATGTATAATCATATATTGAACATCATAGAGCCTAAGTTATGAAGCAAAAATGACTAAATCTCTCTATAACTCACACAACACACATACAACTCATGATAAACCCTAAAACACGATGAAAATCCTAGGTTACAATCATACTACACGCCCTACCTCACTAGAGAAAGTCTCTCTAGAATCCAAGAAAAAAAAAAGGTGCAAATAAAGAATCCAAAACAAGGGTTTTATTGTCCAAAGTGCCACCAAGCTTTATTCCTTCAATGGTGTGGTCAAAGGGTGTGAGGAAGGTTAGAGAAACTAAGCTCTAAGGTTGTGTATAAATGGAGATAGATAGAGAAAGTGGGAGGAAGAAGATGAAGATTAGGGATATTATGATACAATATATGATATATATATATATATATATAAACTACCCTAGCACTATCTCTCACACACACACACTTAAATCTAAACCATCCACTTGTCACTATCATAGCATTCCACACAAAACACACATCCAACCACACACTTGGCACCATCCATGCCCTATATATGTCACCAATCCCCTTTAAGCACATGGTCCAATGAAAACGAGACACTTGTCCCAAGTTTCCCTAATTGCACAGAAGTTCCTCCAAGAAATATCTCCAAAAGATAATCGCATTATTGCCCCAAAAAAATATTTTCAAAAGATATTAGCACAAAGACCCCAAAAATAAAAATGTCCCCACAACATAATCACACAAATACCCCCACAAAATATAAATTAAAATGTATACAAGTGCTATGCAATTCTATAATGTCATTAGGGTATAATATATAATGATGAAGTGAATGAAGTGTTGGGAGCCATTCCCAAAAACTTGACCATGTATCGGGTCCACATAACCCAAAGACAAAATAGAAATAAAGTAAAATAATAAAAACAATAAATAATAATAATAATAAATAACTCGAAAAAGAAGAAGATGACAGGGTCATCACATAAAATGTATATAAATAAATGGATATGCAGTACTACCAACAACTTAAACTTTTGAATAAATGGAAAAACACCCACCCTTTACACAAAGTCATCATATGCCCTCCCATGACTTGAAATTGCACAACAATGTGAATTATAGCTTCAAGATTAAGCTACATTTGAAATGACATTGTAGTTACTTTGATTTAAGGGTGTGCAAGATCCCATAATCTTTTTATTTCAAATTTCTACTGATAAACTTATATTTTTCAGCTTGACTTTTAGGGATTAAAAAGTTTTTGAAATATGCTTCGAGGTTTTGAGGTCTTTTAATGCAATTAGACAATTACATGATTTTAATTTTTTTTTTTTTTTGTTTATTATTATTATTTTTTAAACAGAGATCATGTAGTGTGATAAGTCTGAGCACGTGACAATCATGGTTTAACAATAGTCGAAAGATTTGGATTCAAGTAAAAAGAGTGCAGTGTAGGCTTGAAAACTCTTAATTATAAAATTGAGAAAAATATAGAAAATATAGGTGATCAAATGGGTCTACATTGATCAGAAGTTGTAATTTGAAGTTTAATACAATTAGGGCTAGTTTTGTGTGGTTGAATGAAATAAAAGTAGGAATGGAATGAAACCATTATCATTTTCATGTTTGGTTGCACAGAAAAATATCCTATTTTTGTAATATATATATATATAGCCGACATTTCATTAAATGTTTTTTTTTATTAATTTATTTTTTATTATTATTTTTAAAGTGGGAATGGAATGGTAATTCCTTTAATTGGAAAGTGGAATCAATTAGTGGGAATCACCATTATTTGAGAATGGGTAAGAATTATCATTCCAACTTTAAAGTAAAGAATGGAAATAAAAGCATTTCATTCCTACTTTATTTGATTCAATTTACTTACACCAAACATGGCCTTAATATTGATTGAAATTGTGAATAATTGCACCTGTATTTAAAAAAGGATTAGAAATGTGATATAGCACCATATAATGCTGATTATGAATTAAGACCAATGAAAAGAAAAATGATTCTTGTATTGAATAGTTGCAGTGAATTATTAGACTTACTTTTTAAATTGGTCAATTATATAACAAATAAGAAAGTAAAACCCTCTACTTAGTTATATTTCGTATAAATAACCAATTAAAATTTATTTAATTAGGTAATTTACTTTCGGTGCAAGTTTCACTACTTGAATGAAAAATAACCATTTAATGAAATATTATATTCAATCAAAAAGTGATTGCTTTAAAAATCCTTAACCGATTGAAGTAGGGTGAAGCAAACAAAAGACTTGGATTCTTCAAACGAGTGTGAGCACTGTTTCTTACCATTTAAAGAAAAAGAAAAAGAAAAAGAAAAGAAAAAAAGAATAGGGTGGAACAAAATGTGATATTTATACCTGTAATTCTGTAAAGACTTCGAGTATTCAAAACCTCACATTTGATCACATTTCTTTTATATTTAAATATATTTTTTCAAATTATATCGTCACTTTAATTATGTGTGATCATAAACAATCTCATGGTTATTTAGAACTCACTTTGGTGGGTCAACACAAACCCACCTAATTTTGTTCTTTTAAGCGGATCTCAAATTGGGTTTGCGTTGAAAAAAAATTCAATCTGAATTTTATTTGGGTTAAAACCCCGCCGAATCAATATGCCAACTGTCAACGAACAAAGAGAATAGAAAAGTAGACAAACTTTTTCTTCCACTTCTGAAAATAAAATATCTCTCTCTCGTTTCGAATCTTCCAGAGCTCGCTTTCTGAAACTCGGATCTATAGCTCGAATCTGTAAGTTCTTACAATTCACACATCTAATATATATATATTTATATATATGTATATGTGACTGTCTAGTGTTCTGAATCTTCTGAAAGACGACATAACTCGAGAATTATATGAAAAAATTTCATCTTTTTTCACTTAGCAATTTTTTAATTTTCGCGAAAGTTAGTCTCTAGAATTTTTCTCGAGAATCTGAATTCGAATTTTCCTGGGAATTCGCGTGTATTCCATTCTTTGGACGAGGCTTTATCAGAAACGCAATTCCATATAATTGCGTCAGATTCCGTCGTTGAATCGAAGAATTTATCTTTAAGCTATTTGTTTTCCTACAGAAAATAGTAGTTATTTATGAAATTTTCTGATTTGTATGCGTATATGTATATGTATGTATGTATTTTTCCTTTTATCTAATTTTGAACTTTGTTTTTGATTTCCTTTTTCGTGCTTAAGGTATTGATTGGTTGGATAAATGGGGGTTTAAGTTGAAGGAAATTGAAGAGTTGATGAAATTGAAGGAACTTTTTAAGAGTTGTTATTGAAGGGATTTGAGGGGTTGTAGAGGATGGCGTGTAAGGGGTGTTTGGAGTGTCTACTGAAGCTTCTAAACTTCTTGTTAACTCTTGTGGGTTTGGCCATAGTGGGTTACGGAATCTACTTATTTGTGGAGTATAAAAGAGCATCTTCTGGCGGCAGCCCATCTCCTGCGCCCACAGGTGATGATGTGATCCAGCTCGGCCGGCCGATGCTTATGGCTTTGTCTCTGTCTAGCAGCATTTTCGATAACCTGCCGAAAGCTTGGTACTGTGGCCCAATTTACTTAAAATTTTGTTTTTCGTTTCCATCTTATTGCTAATTTAGGCTTATTCTTATTTATTGCTGGGAATGCTGTTTAAATCCCATTGTTGCATTTTTACTCAAAACTCTCATTTTCATTCAAAGTTTTTTAACTTTTTACATTAAAACACTATTGTGACTTCAAGGGTACTTGAATAAGGTAATCTTTTCTAAAAATTATGATGTCGAGCCCATTTTTTGTTAATTTCCCTTCATAGTTCAATTTGTGTTCTTTATGTTGCATTTTGGCTGCTAATAAAAGGCAGTTGAAGGGGAACTAACAAGAAGAACTTAGATAGAACTAAATATTTTGAACTCGGGTAATGTATTGTTGTGGGATTTAAGAAATTAAAAGCACCACTTGACATAGCATAACAGAAATATTTGACTTAGTAGAGGTGAGCTTTAAAGAGAAACTCAAACATCAGTAAACATGTGTTGTTTCTGTTGTTTTTATTATTTATTAAAAAAAATTGAAACAGCATTAGACATGAGATTTTATATACTCATCTATTTATTTATTTTTGTGTTTTGAAAGTGGTTGGATGAGAATGGGGGCATAATTTCTCTCTTCATATTTTCTTTTATGTTCATCCCTTGTAAGTATATGATGTAGGACAACACTAGGGAACTTAAAATGTGCGGCCTCCAGTTGATTTTGCCATGGTCAAAGGTTATGGAGGAAAATTTGTGGGATTAGGTTTTCAAGGGTAGAAAGAAGGTTGCAAGTTTCATAAATGGAAAAGGCTTGAAACTGCTTTGGTTTTCAATGTAATAAGTTATTGGATTTGTGGAAAATTTGTTGCTGAAAAATTTGGGCCGAAGTTAATTATTTGTTTTCAGGTGTTAATGTAAAGTTGAAAGGATAAAGAGAAAATGTTGAGGGTTGTTAGGTTAAGATTTAGGATGAAATAGTATGAGAATTAGGGGCTGATTGTGATCAAAGTGATTTATTAGACAATTAGTTAGGAGGAGGTGGAGCCTGTTCTATGACTCTCACTTATATTCTTTAAATTTCAACCACCTAAGGAAAGGTTGCATAACACATAAGAATTGCAAATTTTTTCCCAATTTCCAAAACTCAATTGTACTGAATTAAAAGATTATATAGATATTTGTGGGCTATTGGGGTTGTACTTTTTCCAGGACTATGACTCTAAAGTTGTTAAGTCAAAAACTTTGAATAGGTTGGGCATTCTAGACTCTAGAGGTACTAGATACCTCTTATGAAGACCCAGTAACATGGCTTGACTCAATATCTATTAGGATGGGTTTATGGTGGTTTAATCGGGGACGGGCAGGGACAAGTTGAGGGAGTAAAATGTAGAAACTTACATGGGTGCTGGGCGGGGGCTTAGAAAGGTACTCCTGCCCGCCCTGCCCGGTTTATTTAATAAAATTACTATAATATCCTTTTTATTAATTAGATTTCCTAAATTACCCTTCAGTAGTTACCCACCTAAACCCTAATTTCTATTTTACATTGTCTTATCATCCCATTACTCCACCTACCAGCAGTCATCCAGTTGTCGACTCCCCCCTTCTCTCTCTCTTTCTATATATATATATATATATATATATATATATATTGGCAAAAAATAAAATAAAATAAAAATATGTCTCTCCCTTTAGAATTTAAATGGGGCAGGGACGTGCGGGGGAATATAAATGGCAGTGAGAATGGGGTATGGGGGTCTTTCACTAAACGGTTTTGGGCAAGAAGGGGGTGCGCTCTGTTAAACAGGGATGGGGAAGAGCTCCCCCGCCTCATGCTATTCCTATGTCTACCACCACATTATCAGGGAAAATTAACTCCACATACTCAAAAGCCACCTCCAAGAACTTCAACCCGTGGGGCTCCTCTCAAGTGATATAATGTCTTTGTTTGTGTCCGCCTGTATTATGCAAAGAGGGTGATTTAGAAAAAAACACACTTACAAGTGCATGGTATTTGCTTTTTTCTTTGTTTGCTTCGCATAGATCTCCTCTTATTATACGGAATGAACCCACTATTTGTGTTTAAATATATGTGTGTATGTGTGTATGTGTGTGTGTGTGTGTAAATATATGTGTGTCTTTGTGTATATATAAATAATGAACATATGAGAATAATTGTAAGAGACAGTGAGCGAGAGCAACATTGTAGTGAGAGAGCACTTGTTTTGTTAGTGGGAGAGAACAACAAGAACCTAGGTGAAATAAGTGTGAGAGGAAAGATTTTTGTAAGATTGAGATAAGGGCAGTTTTGTCAAAAAGTCTTCCAAAGTGGTATTTTAGTCATTTCATGTTAGTACATAAGGACGATAAGGTCTTTTCAAACGTTTTAAGGATAAAATTGAATTTTAACATTTTACAGAACCTGACATCAGTAGATTCCGTCAATCACCATTACCGACTATAATGATGGGGGATGCTAGTGTACAAAACTATCAGTGACAGGGGAGGTGAGTGTTCTTTTTGAAAACACAGAGGAGGTGCCTATATTTAAAGGTTATTATTATTTTTTTTTCCTAATTGGTGCCCCCTCCCCCCCCCCCAACGAATGGAATTGTTTGCACCCAAGAGGAGTCGAACCTTAGACTTGATACTTCCTGAGGCACCAAGGCCAAGTGAGCCAACCCCTTGGGTTTATTTAAGGATTTCTATTGGGAAGATCAATGCAATTATCCATTTTTAAACAAAATTGGTGTATCAGCCTATCGTTCTCTATGAATGTCCTAGGAAATAATTTATTAAGATTCTTGTATTAAATTTTCTTTTATTATTATTTTTTTATAAAAGAACCAAGAAAATATGGATTCTAGTTAAATTTATTTAGACTTCTTATTTAATTAAAAGTTAAAACTAAGATATTCATTTTCTTATTCTAGTATTTGATACTAATAAGGGCAATTTAGGTAAGTCAAATCATTTTCTTGTAACTTTCATGCTATCTAGACCATGAAATGACAAATTTTCACCATTTTCTTGAGTATATATTTTTTTCCAAGCTAATCAAATGTTTGTCAGAAAAATTCTCTCTTTCATTTACTTCACTTTCTTTTACTTTCACTTTCTACTGTCTGTTTCCATCTAACCAAACAGACAGAGTGAATCATTGACCTTGATTTTGGTAATTTGAAAGTCAAATTGGCAATTCAATAATTTTCATTAAAAAAGCGGAGTGCATCACAAAATGATTCTTGGGGCATTGTAAAAATGCTTCTTGAGGGACGCCAAACATTCTCAAAAACTGATATAACTAAATAATGTTTTTCATATGCCAAAATCATCATGCCAAACTGGGCCACACCAGACCAAGCAAATGTCACTTTCTGGGTGAGTTGCACTGGAACTATAGGTTTATTTCTTTATGTCTTTCTGTTTTGTTATGTTTATCTTTTCCTTTTTGGGGTGTGTAGAGGGTTGTAATCATTAGGTGACCAGAGTAACTGCGTTACAGTGTCACCAGTCATGATTCTAGTAGCTAGTCCATCTGGATTTGATCAGTATAGTTGAGATTGAAGCTCAGTATAAGTTCAGCGGTTCAGTCTAGATGAGTTCAATCAGTCCAATCTCAGCTTGAATTGGACTTTATAAAGTTGGTACACTAATACAGCTCCTATATTTTGACCTGTTAACTAGTGCAAAGGACTATTTGTTTTTGACTTTCTGAGAAAAAAAGGGACTATTCGTTTATCATTTCTTGTATTCTAAATCTCTTAGCAAATATCAATATTTTCTGTACATTTCCTCTACTTTATGTATATTTGTGTATTGATAGTTTGAAAGGGCTAGCCCGATGCATGAGGCTCCTGCCACTGCAGGGTCTGTGGAGAGGCTGTATTGATGGTTTGGAGTTATCTGAAATTTCTTTAAACTGTCTGATTTTTTACACTTGCTGATGTCATGGAACTTCTGTCTGTAATTTTCACATTGTTGGCTAATACTTTTGCTATGGCGATCATTTTTTTGCAGGTTCATATATTTATTTATTGGTATTGGTGTGGTTCTCTTCATCATATCTTGTTTTGGTTGTATTGGAGCAGCAACAAGGAACGGATGCTGCCTGACTTGTGTATCCTACATACTCATGTGTATAATAATGCAAATTAGTTTAAGTGGAGGACAATTATGGCATAAATCCTGTGTGCTGGGACTCCTATGCCATGCCATTCCATTTTGTCTGAAAATGATAATGTTATACTGATTATGAGATGCTATCATATTTCACATTTTTCTTCTTTTCCAAATGATAGAATAATATCTAGGAACATTGATTCCATTCCCATGTTCCAAGTGAGCCTCTATCAGCTGAAGTTTCTCAGGTCCAGCTTTATACCATTGGACTAACAGGTTGCTTGTTATCATTGCACAATTTAATGAGCAACAGCAGGTGGTGATTGTTTAAATGTTGCTGGTGCCATGATATAATTGTCCTGAACAGAAATCAATTTTATATTCTTTATATCTCTTAAGCTTGGCTAGTTTATTATATTCCATTGATGAACTTCTTGGAGATGGAACCACGCAAGATTTTTGAATCTTGCATGAGTTGTGGGATCATTTTTCTCTTTCTTCTTCTATTTTATATTATCTTATTTTTATGTTTGTTTCCTTAAGCCAACACAGTATTCAGTATTGGTGATCTTGTTGATCTTGGTGGAACTGGGATGTGCTGCTTTTATATATTTTGACAAAAGTTGGAAAGAGGTGAGCGTTATTTAACTGGTGTTTTGAGTCCTAAAATGGTACATTCAGTTATCTAAATACTGGTGGTATATATACCTGTTTTAGGAAATTCCAACTGACAAAACTGGAGACTTTGATTCGATATATGAGTTTCTGGAAAAGCACTGGGAAATCGTCAAATGGGTTGCTCTTGGGGCTGTTATTTTGGAGGTATGCTCAACATAATGTCATCATTTGCCCCAATGTAGATTTAGGATCAATATGTTCTCTTTGAAATTGAGATGGCAGATGCCATGAAGTGAAAGCAACACCTCATTGGTAAATTTTTGGACAGTCATGTTACTTTCGACATCTTTGATTGCTTGCTATATGAAAAATCATGTCTTAGTCCTGCAATAGTGTTCGCTTTTGTATAGGCACCAATTACTAAAGGGAAATTATGATGGCTATTATTTGATTTGACTGTGATGAGCTGACAATAGTAGAAAAGATTACAGTGTGCTTGGCTTGAGAGAAGAGAAGAGAAGAGGAGAGAATTTTAGAATTCTTCACCCTCTCTTCTCAACCAAACAAATAAAAATAATTTTTTATTTCCGTTGCTCTTTCCTTCTTAAACTTTTCTTTCATTTTCCTTCTCTTTTCGTGTTCTACCAAACACAAGAAGGTACATTTATAAAATCTCTCTTAAAATTTATCTTTCCTTCTCTTCTTTTATTTCCTTCTCCTTTTCTATTTTCTGCACACTCTCTCTTTTTAACCAAACAACATAATAACATAATAATCATAATAATAATAATTTATTCTTCCCTTCTTTTCTATTCTTTTATTTCTCCTTCTCTTCCCTTCCTTTATCTCCCCTTGCCACCATTCCTAACACTGCATTATGGTACTCAATTGCTACTCTTTATATTCTGCAAAATGGAACGGAAGTATTTTTAAATTTTTTCTAAATGGTGGGCATCTTGCAATTTGAAAACTCGGGCTTAGTTGTCGCAGAGAATGGTGTCTTGAGAAAATAAAGAATAGTATTGAGCCTAAAGGAATCCTTCAAGAAAGCACAACCATAATTTTTTTCTCTTCTTTTCTCTCTTTTATTTATTAATTTTTTGTTGTTGGTAGAAAATTGTGAATTGGAACTTTTTGATTGAGACTGACTACGTTAACCATTTGTCACAAACATTCTCATTGTGAGATATGTACCAAGGGAGTCTAGTGGCCAAGTCTCAGAGAAGAATCATTGATTATGATGGGCTATGAACATTGCTTAACTTGAATGGTAGAACCAGTGGTTTGTTAACTTGAATGTTATTGTTGTCGTGATAGATTGGGGTTTCTGGGTTTTGTTTTCATTGCCTGTTCGTTGGCTTACTATTTGCAATGTTTTTGCAGTTTTTTAGTTAAGATGTATATCTATAGGACAAGACTTGCCTACTCACTGGTGAGTAGGTCATCCATACTGACCGTTGATGTAGTCTAATCACAAATGCACACAAATAATCTGTAATTACAAAATCAGGAAAATGATAAATAAGGAAATCAAAGAGGGTGATTGAATTTATTCCAAAAAAAATTATTGTCCTTATTTATCACTTTCCTAATTTTGTAATTACGGACTATTTGTGCATATGTGATTGGACCACATCAGCAGTCAGTGGAAATGACCTACTTACCGGTGAGTGGGCAAGTCTTGTCCTTATTTATATATTTGATTTTAGTCTTTCCATATCATATTCATCTTTCTACTTGGCTAAAATTGTGAGAGAACAGTCAGAATGAAAGCATCTGCTATGGTGGCTGTTAATTTTGATGCGGTTGTATTTCCATATGAAGTTGCAATGCTAAGGGTTCCACTAACAAATCTCCAATGAGTTAATTGGGTGATTTGGACTAGTTGGCAATCCTACCTAAATGATATAAAACATTTTTTTTTTTTTCTGATGCTTCTGTATGGTAAAACAGTGTGATGAACCTATCAACTGGGTTGAATATTGCTTGTGTACTCTGATTAAATGGGGTTTGCGGTAAAACAGTGCATTCTGATTTTTGATACTATTGAATTACTGTGTGACATTGCAATGCTTAAAGTTGCACTGTTCGTCATGGTTTAATTCTTTTTACATTGCAGAATAATTTCTCAAGCATTATAGTTTAGCACATATATTGAGCTGGTAAATGGGGTTTTAGGGGTTATCTCCAATGAGGTAACTGGGTGATTGGGACTTGGTGGCAATCCTAGCTAGATGATCTTCTGCAATTTAATTTAATTTTATTTGTTTATTTTTTTAATTCCTGATGCTGCTGTACAGTGAAACAGTGCGATAAATCTATCAACCGGGTTGAATCTGGCTTGTGCATTTCGGGTAGATTGTTTCAAGTGGATGGCTTGGATATATGATCATATGTGCTTTCGATACCTTGTAATTCCTTAGGAAGTTTTATTTTAGGGAGTCTTTATCATGAAAGGAACCTATGTTATTTATTTATTTTTTTTCTTTTCTGCCTTGGCATTGGCATTTTGTACCCATGTCCATTTCCATACTTGAATGGCTTTCTTCTGAGTTTTTTTAATTTAATTTAATTTAATTTTTTTATGTTTTGCAGTCATCTTTCTTTTCTCCTTTGAGTAGTGTTAGACAACAACTTATGTTGGACATCGTCATTTTTTCTCTCCTGTTTCCTAGACTTTACTTTTGAACCGCAAAACTAGTTTTCAATTATTTTAATTATTTAGTTTAAAAGAAGAAGTTTTGGGTTTTGGCTTTTTCAAACCGAGAGCCAAGAGCTATATTTATATACATGAATATGGTACAAAGAAAGGAAACCAAATCAAAGAAAAACAGAAAAATATGCCAAAATCTACGCGATCCCATGATTATGGGGATCTTATCCACGGGATCCCATGATTACGTGGATCTTATCTATGGGATCCCATGATTATAAAGATCTTACATAAAACACCTGATAAAAGGGTAAAAACAGTTAATAAAAAAAAATAAAATCATAATAAAGATATTTCAACACTTCCCCTCAAGCTAGAGTGAAGATATTAATGAAGCCCAACTTGATAATCGAGGAATGAAGCAAAGATGGACCAATAAATTTGGTGGGCACATCGGCCGACTGATTAGAGGACTGGACAAAGCACGACTTGATAATTCCCGAACGAACCTTCTGTCTGATAAAATTAATGTCCACCTCTATATGTTTAGCCCTCTCATGAAGGACTGAATATGAAGCAAGCATAATGACTGACTTATTATCACAAAACAAGTCCGAGGACTATTTTTCACCTAGCCATAGCACCTCCAAGAAAGATTGAAGCCAGATAATCTCACAAGTACCCTGAGCTATGGCACGATACTTAGCCTCTGTTGAAGATCTCGAAACTATAGGTTGTTTCTTACTTTTCCAGGATATAAGATGGTCTCCATAGAAAGTACATAAGCCAGATGTGGAACGTCTGTCAGTGTTGGACCCAACATAGTCTGCATTACTGAAACATGATAGCCCAACCTGCTTGCTAGAAGAATAGAATAATCAAAGTCCAGGACTGGACTTAAGATATCGAAGAATATGATATACCGCATCCATATGAGCTGTACTTGGAGCATGCATAAACTGGCTCACAACACTAACCGCAAAAGCCAAATTAGGACGGATGTTGGTAAGATAAATCAATCTTCCTACCAAGCGTTGATACTGCGAGGGATCAGAAAGGAGATCTCTAGACTCATCAGAGATCTTCAGATTAGGATCCATAGGAGTGGAAACAGGTTTACACCCAAGCATACCCGTGTCTCGAAGAAGATCCAAGACATACTTCCTTTGTGATAAAGGGATACTCTGCTTAGATCTAGCAACCTCAATTCTCAAGAAATATCTGAGCTGCCTAAGGTCTTTCACATCAAAAGTTTTAGCCAATTGAAGCTTTACTTGAGCAATTCCAGGGATGTCATTGCCAGTAATGATGATATCATCAACATAGACAAGAAGAATGATACATCGACCAGTGGAGGAATGGTGGATAAAACATGTATGGTCAGAATGGTATCTAACAAACTCCATGGATAGAATTACATCACTGAAGCGGTTGAATCAAGCTCTAGGAGATTGTTTTAATCCATACAAAGACTTTCACAATCAACAGACCTTTCCAGCATACTCCCCCTCAGCCCGAAAACTAGGTGGAGGATCCATGTAAATAATCTCAAGAAGATCACTGTTAAGGAAAGCATTCTTCACATCAAGCTAATGAATAGGCCAATTGTAAGAGACAGTCAGGGAGACAAGCAAACGAACTGAGCTCAATTTAGCCACAGGAGTGAATGTGTCATTAAAGTCTTTACCAGGAATCTGAGTAAACCCTTTGGCCACCAAACGGGCCTTATACCGATCAATAGAGCCATCAACTAGATATTTAACACTGAATACCCATTTGCAACCAACAGTCTTTTCACCAGGAGGGAGAGATACAAGCTCCCATGTTTCATTATGCTGCAAAACATCCATTTCTACCTTCACAGCAGATATCCAATTGGGATTCCGGAAAGCCTCAGACACATTCTGGGAATGGAAATGGAATAAAGTCCTAGAAAGGCTCGGTAAGATCCTGAAAGACTATCATAAGAGAGATACTGCAAAATAAGATGATCAGTACTGCAAGTGATTCCAAATCGAGGAGGGGATTTGTGGTCCCGAGTGGGATACTAAGACTCAGGAACATGGTCAGGACAATGTAAAGGAGAGGGATGTACCTGAACCTGAATCTGAGGAGGATTAAGGCAGTGGAGGTGAAGCACGAGGGCGGTGAGAATAGACGTGCAAAGGGAGTGAGGAAACCACAAGAGAATACTCTTCTTGAAAAATAGGAAGAGGACAAGTAAGAGGAGAAGCCTCTTGATTGAGAGTAGAAGTTTTCTGCAAGATAGTGTTGGAACCATAAAAAGGGGTATGCTCATGAAAGGTGATATCAAGAGAGTGATACATGTGTTTGTGTACTGGATCATAGCACCGATATCCTTTTGACATGGAAGAGTATCCTAAAAAGATACATTTAGTGGCATTGTCATCAAGTTTAGTACGAGAAGGGCTACGATTTTGAACAAAACATGTGCATCCAAACACCTGAGGCATGATGGAAAAAAGAGTAATATCAGGCTGAAGCACTTGTAAGGGGCCTTACCATTTAAGACTCTACTAGGGGTACGATTAATGAGAAAATTAGTTGTAAGAACTGCCATGTGTTAGTATGACGTTGGCACATTCATACCACTTAAAAGATATCGAACAACTAACATTAATTGGCGGTTTTTACACTCTGCCACACCATTCTGTTCAGGGGTATATGGGCAAGTAAGCTGATGAAGAATACCCTGTTGGTTAAGTTGAGACCAAAACTCATTGGAAACATATTCATGACCATTGTCAGACCAAATATTCCTAACAACAGTTTTATATTGAGTTTATATCATTTGGAGGAATTGAATGAACGAGGGAAAAATTTCAGATTTCTTTTTAAGCAAATATACCCATGTGCAGCGGGAATAATCATCAATGAATGTGACATAATAACGATGCCCCTGAAAAAGCAGTAACAAAAGAAGGACCCCACACATTAGAATGTACGAGATCAAACATACTAGGTGCACGATGCATATGAGAAATATAACTGGTTCTAGTATGTTTAGAAAGCTCACAAATCTCACATTGAAACTTATTATCCTTACAAGCCGTTATTAATGAAAGGAAAAGCAGACATGAATACTGAAAGTTTACATGCCCAAGACGAGCATTCCATAAACCTTAAGTCTGAAAAGAAAAATGAAGAACTGAGGCTTGAAGGCTTGAAGCAAGTGGAGGCATAGTTGTTAAAGGCTCAAGGCGCACTAAAGCGCTAAGGCCTCCTGGAGTGTAAGGCGAGGCGCGTGCCCGACTGAAGTGAGGTGCAAGTTGAGAAAAAAAATAAAAAAATGGCACAAGAGAAAATAACAAGCATTTTAATAGTTAACATAACAGTCATTTTCATTTTTCATAGTAAAAAAAAAAAAAGAAAAGAAAAGAAAAGAAAGAAAGAGAGAGAAAAATAACATGCATTGTACTAATTAGTATGGAATAATTATTAAAGTAGTAAGCAATAAAGCACAAAGCAGGGAAAAAAAAAAGAAAAGAATAAGAAGCAATAGAGAGAGAGAAGTGAGAACAGGAGGAGGAAAAAGACAGAAGAAATGGAGAGAGAAGAAAAGAAGCAGCAGTAGAAGAAGAACAAAGCAAAAAAGTGGTAGGGTCTACCACTTAACATATTCAGCAGAAGAGAAAAGAAGAAGCAGCGTGTTTGAGCCCATTCTTTTGTCTTTATATAACTTATAATAAGTGGTAGGGTCCACCGCTTGACATATGCAGCAGAGAAGAATAAAGAAGCAGCAGCATTGAAAAAAAGAAAAACAAAAAAGAAGCAGCAGCAGAGCCCTTGTTTGCTTTACCTTTTTGGCTTTATATAACTTATAATAAGTGGTAGGGTCCACCACTTAACATATGCATACCAATTATATGAAAAGTCAAACCAACAATGAAAAGTCACAACTCTTTAAATAACATAAAAACAAAGCCCTTCAAACAGGCGCGCCCCACATGCGCCTTGGGCCTATCGCCTTTAGCAAATAGGCGCGCGCCTATGCAAAGAGCCTCGCCTGGGTGCATGTAAGGCGCCAAGGCTGCGCCTTGATGCACCCGGCGCCCGAGGCGCGCTCCCGGAATGCCTTTGACAACTATGAGTGGAGGAGGTGTCGGTGGAGGATCCCTAAAGTAGTAGAGGCCATTGTGCTCATATCCCCTGCCAAAAATCCTCTTCGAACACAGGTCCTTTAAAACACAGTAATGAGGAAAGAAAATAACTACACAGTTTAGTGATTTGGCAAGTTTGCTAACAGATAGAATATTAAGAACAGATGGCAAAATAATATCAGGGGCTAGATGAACATCTCATTTACTACGAATAATGGTGGTTGACCCATCAACTAGACTAGCAACCTGATTAACAGGGGTAATGGGAGTAGATAATAATGACAACTCACCGGTCATGTGATCATTGGCTTCGGAATCCAGAACCCAAGTAGGTTTTCCCGCTTTAACATGAAAAGCAAAAGGAGTACCTGTAGCTATAGTAGCCGTGGGAGTAGAAGAGCCGGCCCTGGTAGATAAAGCTCCGAACTGTTCCTGAAGTTGACCAGTCTGGGACTACAATTGATTGAAGTCCTGAAAAGATGGTCTGGGAGGAGTTGAAGCAGGATGTACAATAATCTATGGAGTAGTATACCCACCAATAGTATCAGCTACTGCGGCAGTGCGGCCACAGCCCGAAGATAAAGTGTCCTTTTGGCTACTAGAATCACTCGTAGTACCAAAAGAAGCTTGTTCAGACGTCAAAGAGGGAGGAAAGAGAAAACAAGGCCAAAAAAATCGGCGCCTTCCTCCAAATATGTTGCCAAACAAACACCAGTAGCCCATAAAGGGAAAAGAAAAAAAAAACCAAAAGTACCCTTAAGTAATAAACAACCTAAGGAAATTCTCCTAAAAAAGGAGTAAAAAACAGAGGGTTACCCTAGGGGTCTAGCGTAAGGGCTGGAAGGAGATGGAGGTACGCCGGAGGTGAGGGAAAATGGAGAGAGGGAGAGAGAAGGTGGCCACTTTGGGGAGGAAGGTGGCGAAGGTTTTTGTTTCGCTTTGGTACGAAAAAGAAGAAGTTTTGGGTTTTGGCTTTCTCAAACCGATAGCCAAAAGCTATATTTATATACAGGAATAGGGTACAAAGAAAGAAAGCCAAATCAAAGAAAAACAGAAAATATGCCAAAATCTACGTGATCCCATGATTATGGGGATCTTATCTACGCCCATGATTACGGGGATCTTGTCTATTTGATCACATGATTATGGGGATCTTATAAAACACCTAATAAAAGGCTAAAAACAGCTAATAATAATAATAATAATAATAATAAAGATAATTTCAACAAGTTTTTAAAGTTACTGAACTGACTCTTCCCAATTTATTTTGTGACCGGCTAGCTTATTCCTTATGGAAAGTAGTGATTGTTTTAGTGGTGATGTGGGGTTCCTGAGTTGTTTGTGAGTAGCTCCAGCCATCTTATGATTTCATATTGACATATTTTCGCGCTATCATTGTATGAATGTTATTTGCAAAGTTATTTATTTCCTATAAACTTAAATCTTATCTGACCATTCATGATATACTTGGTTGTTTGAACCAGAAAATATGGCATTTTGTTGCTGGATGGTATAAAATGCATTTTGTTCTCCATATGCCACTAGCACCGCAAGGTTGGAGCGCGCGCGCACACACACACACACACACACACACTTGTAACAACAGAAGAAGTCATCTTTCTAAAGCTGAGAACGAAAAGGCTTTATTTTAATGCATTGGGACAAAAACACGTCTCCTTGAGTAGACTTGTCACTGAAAGGTGTCGTCTGTTTATGTCTGTTTTCGACATGGCTCTTTCTCGAAGTAGCCATATACCCTTCTAAGCTCAAAAACAACATGAATTGTGACATGGGTTTTGAGGTCTGCAGTGGCGTCAGAACAAAACATGCTACAAGGGAGGAGTTCTTTTTTTTTTTTTTTTCCTTTCCTCTTTTATCCCTCTTTTTTTGAATGTGGGCAGGGGAGGGAGATGGTGTTAGTGAAGTTAAATTCACAGACAAATGGTCATCAATAAAATATCTAAAAAGAGCAATCCTCCCTCTTTCCTGAAATAAATAAATGAAGAAAAGTAAAATCTTTATTTGCTGAAGTCCTAAGATGATCTTATTTATTGGCTAGTGTTAACAAACTAGAACAACTTATTTAAATGCTATAGAAAATAGATCCAATTTTAAACACTATGGACTGCTTCACTTTCTTGTGATGTCCTATTGCCTCGAATTTTATTGACTGCATGTGGAATTGCAGGCTCTGGTGTTCTTGTTAGCTTTTGTGGTAAGGGCTGCAAACAGACCAGCAGATTATGACAGTGATGATGAGTATATAAATGTACAGAGGCAACAAATCAGACAACCATTGATCAACAGGCCACCAGTTCCAGCAACGGGGGTCCCTGTTGCTGGTACCCTTGATCAGCGTTCAAACAGAAATGACACTTGGAGCAATCGTCTGAGGGAAAAGGTGTGATTTCTTTTGGTAGAATGTTCTTTATGTTCAAAAATATTTTGGCTTCTCCATATGCATAGCTACATGATCTGCACAATGAATTCCTTATGATGTGCTTTAAGTAATACCAATCTTTTCAGTAAGAGGATTTCACCTGATTATGTCATGCTTGCGTTGTTAATTCCTGATCCATTTATGAATAGATCAATTAATTTGTACCATTCCTGATTTTTATATGATTTTTTTGAATTTATTTTTTTATTCCAAGGAAGTTTAAAAATAACTTTCATGCTTCACTTTTGATTTTGCTATATTGATTTCTGACTTTTTGCAACTTAACCCAATTTATCTGCCAGTTCTCAGTTTTTCGCCGTACTAACTAGATTCTGAATGTGTCCATATGATAATAAACTGCACATGCAGTATTCTTTTTGCTGAATATTTTAAAATGCGATTTGATAATTTACAGGATTCGGAATGTAATGAAATGCAATTGTTGATTGGTGCGATGATCTTGATAACTGTGTATCGACTTTTTATTTCCTGTTCTTGCCAGTGGGAGGGGTGTGTGTAATTTTTAATTCATTTGTTCTTCTGAGTAAAGTTCTTATGTGCAAGTCTCTCAGGAAGTTGAAACTCCAAGTTGTCTGCCAGAAAGCACAAATCTAAATCACTCAATTAATAGTTAAAGAATTATGTAGCCTGTTCAGGGATGAAAATGGGCTTTTGTTTTTTTCCCCTGGGGCTTTGATGATCTAAAACCGGAAAAAGATAATTGATTACCAATATGAGAGTTTTTTCTTTCTCTCTCCCCCCACCCAAACCCCAAAGCCAATAAAATGTTTTATTAATATAAATCAGAAATTCAAACAATCAGTCTCCTACAGCTTTTCTCACCCCTAAAGGAAGAGAATCTAAGTTATTACAACTGCAACCATTCCCTAATGCCTTCCTTGCCAAGTGAGCTGCCATATTAGCATTCTGTCTGATATGCTCTACCTTCAACTCCTCAAAAAGAGCTAACATCTTGGTAATGTCTTGAATAATATTGAGATGGATGATATTACATGAGCATGCCTGTTATAGCACCAATCACCAACTTAGCATTTTTCCCAAAGGTGACTTTCTGCAAGATCAATTGAATCGCACACTGAACAGCCGATCGAAGGATTAGTGCTTCAGCTCACATCTTCAATATTTTGCAAATATTTCATTGCAGCATGAAGAGCACCACCAGAAGAGCATCTCACAATAAATCTTCCCCTCGCTTTATCCGCTTTCTTGTTAAAGGATGCATGATGCATCCACTTTTACCTTGCACCATCCATTATCTGGGGGTTTCTCCTGCATTACCACAGATTCTCTGTTATCATCGCTTAACATCGCTCCTACTGCTAAATTCCAGTTCTGTTTCCTTCAAGACATTCCAATATTCATGAAATTGCTTTCTTTGTTAATCTCTTGAGTTCCCAACATTCTCCATAAAACCGTGTCATTGGGTGTTTTGGCAAACTATTAGTTTTTATATTTTTCTCAAACACTTGGTGTGTAAGTGAATATAGCAAAAAAAACTACACTAGTGGGCAAAAAGCAAAACTCAAAGATAAAGAAATAGGGTTAGGGAAATGGAAACACAAGGACACCAAATCTTTACGTGGTTCAGCTCCCCCACCTACGTCCACACCCCTAGAGCACTTCTTGAGGATTCCCAAAATGCACTATCTCACTCTCCTTCACAGGTTAAGAGAAAAGCTGTACAAAGCTCCTCGAGCTTGTCTCTCTTTGCTAAGTGAGCACCTCACTTGCTTTGAGGGACTAGCCCTTTATAACAATGACAAGAATGATAAGAGTTTGAGCACAACAGTAGATGTCCCTCAATGGACTAATATACAACTCACAGCTCACTACAATAATCCCTCAATGGATAGATATACAAATCAAAGTTCTCTCTCCAGAGTAATAGACGAAGCAAGTAATGAAAGCTCAGTTCTAGATGAAAATAGCAAATATCTCTAAGATTTTCAAGTATGATGTAAGATTTTGCACCCCAAAATGAGTATGCGTATAAGTTGCTCAAAAGGGTATGGGACCTCTTATTTATAGCCTCATTGGGAAATGTGTCCGTTGGAGTACTTTTAAGAAGTTGTTTTGAAACAGGTTTATAAAAACGTGTATAGGATTCCATGTAGACATCTAGTCCTTTTGTTATCACTTTCAGCACTTGTCTGTTCCGTATTCATGTAGACGTTTAGAATACAAAATGTAGACATCTAGTTGCAGATTAATCTTTTGATATAGATGTTTAGATAATCTCTTGTAGACGTCTAGTTCTTAAGCCATGAGAAATCTGCCCTTGCATTCCTTTTATTGGACATGAAGAGATAGATGGTTATCAGTAACCATGTTGACGTCTACTTGGCAATTTCCCTAAACTTCTGCACTTGCAGTCCCTTGCCAAGTCTTTAAGAGGTAGACATCTATAGTAGATCACGTGGACTTCTTATAAGGCCATTGCTGAAACTCAACACTTGCAGTGCTTTGGCCAAGTCATCAAGGTGTAGATGTCTACTGAAATTAATCTAGATGTCTATTTACTTTAAGTGGTCAAATGACTCTTTTGCTCATTTATCACAGGGACCTTAAAGTAATTATATCCAAAATTTAGGGCTCTAGGTCCTTAATTCATTTAGATCCTAGAGTTGAGCTTTCAAATCAAATGCATCAAGAATTACTGTACAAGGATTCTAGCTCTCACCAAGCCATATAATCCCATGGTCTTGAACTTGATCTTCCAACATTCGAGTTCCATTGGCCATGAGCTTAGATCCAAGAGAGCTTGTGTATTTGTCCATGGATCTTTAGATACTTGAGTTTATAGAATACCCTGAAATTGATCACGCTTAAGTAGAATATCAAATTCCCACATTAATAGGTTGTTATTATCAAAATTACCAATTTGCCCTTGGTATGAAACTCCAAGGATTTTTCCAGAACATGTCCATCCGTCTTGAAGGGCTTTCTTCTCTTAAGACCCCTAAAGAAGGAGTTTGCTTCTGTAAACTCAACTTAGCTGCATAGTCTGCTGTTTTGACATCCTTTGAAAAGCCCCATATTAATTTATCTTCTTCCTGATGCACACTGGGGTATTTATTTGCATATCTACTATTAAAATCTCTTCAAATTAAGTCCGCCTTCCACTGGTGGTTCTCATTATCTATAAGATCTGCTACTTTTTCTGTAGGAGTCTCATTAGAGGGTCTTGATATAAACTTGGTTATTCCAATACCAGGCTGTTTCCAGCAGTTGACTTTCTTACCATATTCAAATCTCCATTTTAAGCCTGTTTTGAGTGTTCTCTTAGTTGATATGATGTTTTGCTAAACCCACGAAGCATTAGATTTATGTTCATCATCTAGGAAAATGGTATTGTGGAAATATTTTGCTTTAAAGACATTGTAAAACAAACTCTTATCACGGTCATCACCCATAAACAGCCCCCTACCTTCTTTAGCAAGCAGTCCGAAATTGGGAATTTCTAAATCTCTATACCCCAGCCCACCTTCATTCTTTGGGCAGCATACTTTATCCCATCTTATCCAGTGAATCTTCTTTCACCATCTTGTGTATTCCGCCAGAAATCCCTCATTGTTCTTGTCAATGCTCTGAATGCGGTCTCTGGTATTTTGAAACAAGATATTGTATAATTTGGTATTACTGAGATAATGATCTCAGAAGCACATCTTTGCCAGCCGTTAGTACCTAAAGTTAAAATTCCATTTTCTGTTAAGCAGTATAGACCAAGATAAGAGATTCCCTTACAATCTAGCTCTCATTTCGTTTTGCAAGAAAGCCAAGACTTACTTCTTTGATCTCCCTCGTTATGTATCCCTGATATAGAGCATAATCTTTCTCTTTCTTAAAATTCTGTATTTACTTCTTAAGAAGATCGCAGAATTATCAAAATTCACTTCTTGCCCACAGATGCCACTTCATACCATTGTAACAAGCCTTTTAATATATGCACCTCATTACTAGTTTGCCTTGCATAACAGTAGTCATCCACAAAAAGGTGTGTAATCTCTGGAGCTCTTCTGCATATTTTAACACGCGAAATCTAACCTGTAGCACTTGCATTTACCATTGCCCTTGATAAGCCTTTTGCACATGTTAAGAAAAGATTATGAGATAATGGATTTTGTCACTATCAGAAAGGAGTAAAAAGAAGTGTTAAAAAATTGGGCTTATTTCAGCAGCTTATTGCGGTGGTCTTTTTTTATTGGGTTACCCAAGAAATTTTCATCACTCCTATGTAATAAAGCTCTGTAATACCAACATTGCGTCCAAATGATGTTTCCAAATTTTCATCTCAGGCTTTGAAATTAGTCAGATTATGAATAATTATTATGTAGATTTATGAAAGAGTCAGATTATGAATAATTATTATGTAGATTTATGAAAGAGGAGAGAGAGAGAGAGAACCACCGGAAGTCCGTTCTTATCATTCAGCATGTTGTAGTAGTCTACCCGACAAGGAGTCCCATGGGTTCATCAAATCCCGTGATCTTGGACGGTATTATCAAATGTCGTAGGTTGATTGAGTCCAGAGGTATTTAAAATCCCAGAAATGGGCCTAAATAAGATTTCAAAATCTTCAGATCTTTGGAATATATCCCTGAAATCTCATTTAAAAGACATGATTCAAAAAGAAATAAGAATTTGATTCTTGATTGTCGTGTCTATAGATTTCCCATTCATCTCAGAAATCTTTTGCTTTACCCATATTCTTGATGCAGATTTCTTGAGTAGGACTTGATTTGTCTGGTGGTGCCCTGCTTGTTTATGCACAATTAAGTTGCCACATACTACCTTCCATAGTAGCATGTCCATTGGATGCCATATAATTTCATGTATGTTTGTGTGTGTATATATATACTTCATCTTCTGCATAGCTTTTCTTCGTTTGCATGCTCTCTCTCTCTCTCTCTCTCTCTGTCTGTCTCTCTCTGTGGATCAGTTTCTATATATTGATGGTCTTTTGTATCTCTCTGGAATATACCAGTATGGGCTTGGTACACACAATCCTTCCGAGGCAAACAGTTATCAGCAAGCAGCAGAACAGCCGGCAGAAGAAAGGAGTCGTTGCAGCATCATGTGATGATCATCCGAGTTATGCTCAAATTCGAAATTGGCTCAGTTCTGGAAACTGAATTTATTCTACTGGTGCTAGAAACATTGTATTACATTCTGTTTTTTTTTCATGGAGCTGACAATGAGTTACAGATTTTGTATGAAGCTGTGAGTTGCATTCAGCTGGTTTAATGGTAAAATTGAGACACACAGGCAAATGCATAGATTAAACTCCTCAAAAAATTGCAAAAATGATATTAAATCCTCTGATCGAAAAAAAAAAAAAGGAAAAAAAGGGGAAATTCAAAGATGCACTTTGAAAAATTCACATCCAGAACATAATTCAAATGCAAACAATGTCAAGGGTCATTGCAAATTGCTTCAAGGGCAAAAAATAAAGCATGTTCAAGGTCTGCATATATAAAGCTTGTGAATGCAGCTGATATAGCCTAACATGATCATTCCGAAAGTGCAAGGCCAATGCACGATGAATGATTCACAACCTATAGATTCAACAAAATCGAAACGAAAAGAACCCGAAACAAAAACAATATGCAAAATCACTAACAAGGAAAGCCATACTAAGCAATGTCATATAAGGTCTTCTAGTAACTCTATTCTTCTCTTATTCCTGCTGGTAAAAACCTCGTTACTCTATTCTTCTCTTATTCCTGCTGGTAAAAACCTCGACTTACGATAACAAATGGCACTCGAGAAATTGAAGAAGCACTTAAATAATTTCACATCCAAAGAAAAAACAAATGCAGACAATATTAAGGGTCATTGAAAACTGTTTCAAGGCAAAAGTTAAAGCATTGTTCAAGTTTAGTATCTTAGGTTTATTTCCTGATTCTTAAAAGGGCCAAATTTTATATTTAGGTCTCTCCCAAACAGATTTAACTGTAAATTAACCTCTTTAGTAAGCCTGATTAAGCTTTCCTGTTGATCAGTGTTAGGGAGCCAATTTTGAATTGACTTACATTCCCGATTGCGAATGACGTCTACTACCGCTCCTCAGTCATCCCCAAACACTGCCCAATAGGATCCATGGGAATCCAAAAAACATTTAATGAGATGGATAGCACCCATTCAGCCTAAAGAGTTTTCGTCCTGAATTCAAAGAAATGCCCAAAACAACTTTCGGAAGTCACTAAGCACACCCTACGGTATTTGGCATACAAAACGAGATGCGAAAGGGAAAATCTCAATAATTAAAAAAATCTCGGAAAATAAAAAATAAGAAAAATCAGAGACACTACGATCTACCCTCCTTAAAGAGATTTCATTCTCAAAATTTACCCTTCTTAAAGAAAGAAGCTTACAGTTACCGTCCTTCCTAAGAAACTCTTCACAAAATCGCAAGATCAAGAACTCACTAACCTTATTGCCTTAACACCGGACATAAACATGCAATCACGTACTACTGCCACTAAACACAATGCTCACCACCTTATATTTTTTAGATGCTTTGATCCATTACTTGTGCATGACAGTGCATTGTTGTGGTATTGATAACTTTATAGTGTTAGTATTCTGCACGCTTCTTGGTTTAATGCAATGACTTACATTGCTTACTAATAAAGATAACACATTGCTTCATATTTATGGTTTGTTTCTGTATATGAAAATATAAATTATGTGTATATTTATTCTACCATCAACCTAAAGAATACACACACACATATACACATACATACATACATACATACAGTGTAAGGTCCTTGTGACCCAATGTTATCTCCTTTACTTTTTAAGTTGTTTTTCAGTCATTGACTTCGGTATATTGTATATAATGAGTCTAATCCTTGAAATGTGGAAATTTGGAGATTGAAACTTGGTCGTCTTTTTCCTTTCCAACCTGCAAAGCATGTCAATGACGTTAGGGACCCATGCAAAGAAAAGTGAAATTTCACGGAAGAAAACAACCACCAACATCTGGAAATGGAAAACCATCCTGCGTCATTACATCTCAAGAGGCTTCTTATTTTTATATTCTATGGTTACAATTGTGAAATTCTAGTAGTCCATAAAAACTCTACCCAGAATAAAAACGGAGACACTTCTAAATAACTTTACGAAGGAGAATCCATAAGCAAAATAAGCATTACAAACATGAACATGAATCTTGCTTAATACATAGAAATTTGATTAATTTATTTAATTTGACGCTCTAAGGGTATGTATGGTTTATAATCTCAATAAATCTGAGGAACGTTACCCAAGGCTCTGAAAGGTTTGAGCTGTTACCCAAGGCTCTGAAAGGTTAGAGTATGCGCTATGAGTTAGAGCAGGGGGTGAATAGGTCTTATTCATATTATTTTGAATCTAACTAACATTTTGAAATTCTGTTGATCTTTGTTAAATTTCAATTGATCTTATTCACCAAACTCTCCACTCAGTCTCCAAGTTGTCCGCTTTGTCAATAGATTCACCCCTAAGTGTCCATGGTTTTTTCAATCCTTCTGCTCTTAATAGATTAAATTGTTCTTTGATGATAATTTTGATGATCACTTGTTTAAAACTCACGATCACATATAATGGTCAAACTATAAGAAACCCTAGATTGAGAAACAAGGCTCTCTCTATAATATAGATTCACTATAGAATATGTATAGACTTGGTTAGAGATACAGGACTGACTATAATCCCATATTTGATGACCTTATTGAGGTTATTGGTAGAGTGAGTTATGGAAAGAGGAGAAATTGAGAAATAATATTTTATATAATTTATATATATAATAAATATTATTATTTTTATTACCGTATTCTTGCCGTGTTCGTGTTCGTGTTCGTGTCCATGTCCTTTTTTCTTTTCTTTTTTTCTTTTTTTTTTTAATATTTGGCATATCATAGACCATGTCGTATTATGTCCATCTCCTTGTCCGTGCTTTCTTGCCCACCACTGACAACAAGGACCAACCTTACTCACTACCACAACCTAATCATCCAACAAACTCTCTCTCTCTCTCTCTCTATATATATATATATAATATAATGTATCCATCTCTCATCTAGTTTTCCCTCTCATATTTCTCATGTCGATATCATTGAAGGAATCACAAACATCTTGATGGAGATTGCGAATCTATAAAGACCGCGTCTACAAGCTCGAGCTTACTGAAATATTGTCATATCAAGACGAGCTTGAGCTAAGTTAGGCTAAGCTCGTCCAAACACAAGGTGAGCCTAGACACATACTTGGCTCTAGTCAAGTGCAGATGTAGGGGTGGGCTCTGGTGAGTTTGAGCCCACTCAAAAAAAAACAAAAAAAAAAAAAAATCATTTTTAACTGCGTTAATTTTAGTCCAGCCAAAAAATAATATATTAATAGAATTAACCCACTCAATAAGCCCAAGTCAACTAAGCCAGCATACTAAAATAAAGGCCCAAGTCCAATAAGCGCAGGGCCGGCCCTGACCCAAGGCGACAAAGGTGGTCAACTAGGGCCTCAAAATTTATGGGGCCTCAACATTATAGGCCCATGGATGATGAGTCACAAAAAAACAAAAATAGTTTTAGGGCAAATCATTTCAGCCTCCCCAATCGTCTCTTATTTTTAGGGCAAATCATTTCAACCTCCCCAATCGCCTCCATCTCTATTCTCGTTCTCAACTCTCTCTCTCTCTCTCTGCAAGTGCAAAACACAAGATCTACAAGAATCAGAAGTTCAAAACCCATATATTTCAGTTTATCTATCTGTCTGCAAGAATCAAAAGTTCAAAACCCATATCGGCATATGATTTCAGATTGTTCAAAAAATCAAAACCCATATCTTTCAGTTTCCATCGCCCGTTGTTCCAGTTCGGGTTCGCTGTTCCGCTGGCTCTCAACTCTCAAGCTTGCCCTTCTCTCTCTCTGCAACTGCTAACTTGTATGTATGGGTTTTGTTTTAATTTTTTTTCTAAATCAACTAATCAAGGTCTGTAATTCTTGTTTTGCAAACTAAATCCTATTTGGTGAATTTTTTTTGATCTTTTTAATTTTTTTTTTTACAATATAAAGTAAAAAAATTTGCATTGCATTTCGAGGTAATCACCGTAATCTACATTTTATTTCAGCAAAACAAATATATATATATTTTATTTCTATAACTTCTGTTTTTTTGTTGTCAATTATGTCGACAAGAAAATTTGAATCTGGGCATGAAAAAAGAAAAAAAGAAAAAGAAAAAAAGAATCTGAATTGGATTAGAAATCTTCAAAGATTGAATCTGAAACAATTTTTATCAACATGCCAAGCTTTTTGAAGATGGAATTCTTTTCAGACCTAAAAAAAAAAAATTATAACAAGAACTTTGACAAGCAAAAGTACTTAATATAGGGTAAAGCTCTAAAGTTACTTCTTGAAAATTAAAATACTTACAAAAAGCATGCTTTTGAGTGAATTCCATAGTGTTGGAAGGGGCTTGCCATGAACTACCTCACACTCTGCTTCCACTAGTAGATTCTCAAATAGGATTAGGAAATTGGTGAAAAGAAGAGATAGGGTACTGAGTGGTGAATTGTTCAGAAATAAATTGGTATATTTTTTTTTATTAATTACCCAAATGGGATTTTCTATGCTTTATTCAGTCAATTGTCTAAAGAACCATTGTTAGTTAACTAACATTGAATTAAACAACAGTTGATTTTGGTTGATATATTTTGATTTAGCCCACCCCATTGATAAATCTTGGATGTTTTGTTTCACATAGAAATACAATCTGTGTAATGCACAAAGGATATATTCAATCTTTCTGCGGTATTTTTATTTTCAAATTTTGGTATTTGATTTTCTTTTGTTATTAGAATGCAGAATATCAGGATATTGATTTGTTGATTTTGAAGATTATTCCTAAACTGGTGCATTGTACTTTGTTATTGGACTAATTAGTCATAAGAGCTGAGTATAATATGTGCTAATAACACCTATCCGTAATCACACCTCTTTCTACGGATAGGTGTCCAACATTTTGACTAAAAGCATAGTTGGGTTGGGTTGGGTTGATACATGATACATATGGTACTTAGATGATGGTGTTTTTATTGTTATGAGTGAGATTGTGAAACATCTTCCTCACAACTTGAGTGTTTTCTTATTTTTAGGGTTAGCATCGGGCCTTAACATTTAGCAACAACAAGGTTTAAGAAACATGCCTCCTCAGTCATCAGGTACAAACTCTTACTTTTTCTGAAATTTTAATTGTCATTTTTAGCTATTGGTTACGTTTATTTATTCATGTTTTACATACTGATTTTTTGTTTTTGTTTTTGTTTCTACATACATATGTATAATATTGTTATGATGTGATGCTCGAACAATTTATTAAAGGGAATTAAAGACTTTTAAGTTTAGTTTTTAATTTCAGAATATATATTTTACAAGTTTATTAACGCTTTTAAAACTTTTCCTCTTTTGTCCTAATAATATAGGTCTCTTTTCTGAAAGAAGAAAGTTGATGGGAATGGGTGGAGTAGGCAAAAAGGTATGTTTTTTTTGCCTAGCTAATTGAATTATATAAATCCGCTTACCGTTGTAGCAGTGATGTTAGTTTTAAAATGACCAATTATGATAGGAAATCTCTTTTTAGTTGATCTTAATCAAATGTATATCTATGCAAGGAGATTACGTGATTCTAGATGACGATTCTAGATGAGGATGTTGATGTCAACGTTATGAGAATGACGGGATGTTGATGTCAACGTTGACCCTAGTGATGATGAATGATGTTGATAATATATTGATGCACTCAAATTAAGTCAAAGCACTTAGAATTAAAGGAAATTTAGAGTTGAAGACATACTATTGAGCGTAGTTTCTAATTCTTTTAGTTACAAGAATCTTTGGTCACTTCACACACGGATTTTCAGTTCCTGAAATTCTAAAACGATGGTGTGTAATATGATTCATCTACTTGGGCTCTCTTCTTTTTCATCTCTCTAAACCCTAATTTTATCTGTGACAAAGAAAAAGAAGACTTTATGTAATTGTAATTTAACTTTATCAGTTTGAGCATTGACAGAGCTTCTGAAATGTTGAAACTGAAACAGCAAGGAAGAGAGAGTGCACCAATAAGAATTACTCAACTTAGGACAAAATAAGCTCTCTGAGCGTCTTGACTAATATTGGCATGGGCGACTTCTATAGATATGGATTTGTAGAGGGAAAGATATATGGTTGGGGGCACAAAAGTGTATGACAACTGTGAACCAACGATATGGTTGTGAGCTTTTGGCTTGTTTCATGCATCGGATCTAGGAAGTGTACAACAATGAAATGGAAAGCTCTGATGCACTCAAAGTTACAGGCAGAGACAATAATTAATATTATATATTTATAACTTACTTTCCTAATCTAGTATGATACTACGTATATCATACAGATACACACACACACACACACACACACACACACACACACATATATATATGTTTGTAACTTTATACTTAAATATGTTTTGATTTAGTCCACCCCATTGAGAAATCCTTGATCCGCCCTTGGCTATTGTGAGTTGAGCCAGAACATGTTGGAGCTCTGTTCTGTTGGGTTCATCTGCAGCACTACTCCTCTAGCCCAAACCTACCATTGAAGACCATTTCAATAGTTTACAGTGGAAAGAGTTACACACTTCTTATTGATCATTTTCTGCCTTCACACTCGAGAGTCGTGTATATGTTCTTGATCCTACATGCAAACTCAGAAGTCGTGTATATGCTTATTTTGGTCAAAAAGGGTCTATAATTATTTTCTGTGTTATGTATGTTCATGGAACCTTCTTTAGATGGAGACACCGTCTAAAGAAGAAGCAATAGTTTCATGGGTCGACAAGGTTGTACAGAGAAAATGTTTTGTTGGGTTGAGTTGAAATTGTATTTTCTTTACCAAGGGTACTAGATAAGATTTATCAGTAATGGTAACCATTTTTGGTAGTATAGTTGATATTTTACTATTATTTCATTGTCAAGATACTAGCAGTGCACCCAATAAAATTTGGGTCATATATGAAGAATGTACAAGTGGTACAGTTATGCCTATCCTTTGTACTGCTCAGCTAATGAGCTTGTAATGATGTTTCTGGGCTGATCTTGGTGAGGCAAATATCTCTATCTAGAGTAATGCTACTAAGGGGGCGCGCTCTTTGGTAATTATTATCATTATTTACATTTTGTACACATTTTCTTTCACCATTCCCCTTCTTAACACACGAGAATAAATATGGTATTTAGCTCTGATGTCAACCTTCATAGGCATTCTATATTTTTGCTATCAAATCGTCTTTGAGAACTCCCTCATCCAGCATGACCAAGAATACTTTTTGGTAAATCTTTATCAGGCATATGTTTAAAATGTCCCCTGCAAATCTGTTTGTTTCTTAGAATGCAGTTTTGACAATGCAAAATGCAATTCCTACTTTCTGTATGTGTGTCAAGGTCAGTTGATTTTTCATTTTGCTTTTCTGCTTGCCACTTTAGTAAGATTTTTTCTTATTAGTTGCTGTTCTTAGGTGAGTGTTGTCAGCCACTGTTTTCTTATTTCCTGGTATCATTTGGTATATTATTGCATTAATACGGCCACATTCAGAAAAAATAATAATATATATTTATAAGAGTTAGCCGTGTTATATCGTTGGCATAGGTTGTGAACATTGAAAGAGTATGTCAAATAAGGGATGATTGAAGCAATTAGATGCTATAGCCTAAGCTTAGAGATGCCATTACCCGTGAGACACGAAATCAACTTATTTCTAATTTGTAATATAAATACAAAATGGTATTATAGTAAATTGGTTAAAATAGTATCTATTCTATGCTATCATTTCCTTTCTTTTCCTTCCTAATTTATTATCCAAACATGAATACATTAGCTATACTTTCTTTACTTCTCTTTTCTCTAGTAATTAATGCTGTCCTTTCTTTTCTTTTCTCTCATGCTAAACAAAAGGTCAGAAGTCGAAATGGCTTAGAGCAATAAGGTGTCTACAACAGGCTATTTTTGTCCATAAACCACCTCTGCCTCCAGTGGCTCGCGACTTGATCAACTCCAACCACCAGGTGCATGGACTGTGGAATTTCTTAATTAATTCGTACAATTACAGATATTGGGATTTTGCCTGGTGTAGCACTTGGATGGAAAATGTATTACAATTGGAAGTTGTTGAAAATAACAGAATAAGGAGTGAAGGGGACGGAAGAAGCGGAAAAAGAAAGAAAATCAGATGCATTGAAATTGATCGACTATGTGGACAAGAACACCACGGTTGGTTGTGTCCAAAAATCTTATTTGTTAACAAATTAGTTGTAATCTGATTTCATTGCAATTCTTCAGGAAGTTGAAGCCATAAGTGTTGCCATTGAGGAACAGGCCAAAAGTGAGTGTTTTTTATCAACCAAGATGATTGCTATAACATTTTTATTAAATTATTTATAAATTTAATAGTGTATATTGGAAATATTGCATATATAACTCACTTCTTCTCAGTTATGCTATTTTATTTATCCACTATAAGTTGTAATAGCGTACCAACTTATTTGTACATAAGCATTTTAAAATCGTAATTACTCTTTACATTTCTACCCTTACCGGGGATTCATTGGAATTGTGAAAGGGCATGTGGCGAAAGGAAAAAAAGGAATCTGAATTGGATTAGAAATCTGAGATTGAATCTGAAACAATTTTTATTAACATGCCAAGCGTTTTGAAGATCGAAATCTTTTTAGAACTAAAAAAAAAAAAAAAAAATCATAACAAGAGCTTTGACAAGCAAAGGTACTTAATATAGGGTAAAGCTCTAAAGTTTCTTCTTGAAAATTAAAATACTTAAAAAAGCATGCTTTTGAGTGAATTCCATAGTGCTGGAAGGGGCTTGCCATGAACTACGTCACACTCTGCTTCCACTAGTAGATTCTCAAATAGGATTAGTAAATTGGTCAAAAGAAGAGATAGGGTACTGAGTGGTGAAATAAATTGGTATTTTATTTATTTTTTATTAATTACCTAAATAGGATTTTCTATGCCTTAATTAGTCAATTGTCTAAAGAAACATTGTTAGTTAACTAAAATGAATTAAACAACCGTTGATTTTGTTAATATATCTTGATTTAGCCCACCCTATTGAGAAATCCTGGATGTTTTGTTTCACATAGAAATACAATCTGTGTAATGCACGAAGGATATATTCAATCTTTTTGCCATATTTTTATTTTCAAATTTTGGTTTTTGATTTTCTTTTGTTATTAGAATGCAGAATATCAGGATATTGATTTGTTAATTTTGAAGATTATTCCTAAACTGATGCATTGTACTTTGTTATTGGATTAATTTAACATAAGAGCTGAGTATAATATGTGCTAATTACACCTATCCGTAGTCACACCTCTTTCTACGGATAGGTGTCCAACATTTTGACTGAAAGCATAGTTGGGTGGGTTGATACATGATACATATAGTATTTAGATGGTGGTGTTTTAATTGTTATGAGTGAGATTGTGAAAACCTCTTCCTCACAACTTGAGTGTTTTCTTATTTTTAGGGTTAGCCTTAACATTTAGCAAGAACAAGGTTCAAAAAACATGCCTCCTCAGTCATCAGGTACAAACTCTTACTTTTTCTAAAATTTTAATTGGCATGTTTAGTTATTGGTTACGTTTATTTATTCATGTTTTACATACTAATATTTTGTTTCTACATACATATATATAATATTGTTATGATGTGATGCTCGAACAATTTATTAATGGGAATTAAAGACTTGGAAGTTTAGTTTTCAATTTCAGAATATATGTTTTACAAGTTTATTAACGCTTTTAAAACTTTTCCTCTTTTGTGCTAATAATGTAGGTCTTTTTTAATAGAAAGAAGAGAGTTGATTAGAATGGGTGGAGTAGGAAATACGAAAATAGGTATGTTTTTTTTGCCTAACTAATTGAATTATATAAATCCCCTTACCGTTGTAGCAGTGATGTTGGTTTTAAAATGACCAATTATGATAGGAAGTCTCTTTTCAATTTATCTTAATCAAATGTATATCTATGCCAGAGGATTACATGATTCTAGATAACGATTCTAGATGAGGATGTTGATGTCAACGTTGACTCTAGTGATGATGACGACTGATGATGTTGATAATATGTTGAAGCACTCAAATTAAATCAAAACACTTAGAATTGAAGGAAATTTAGAGTTGAAGACATACTATTGAGCATAGTGTCTAATTCTTTTAGTTACAAGAATCTTTGGTCAGTTCACACACGATTTTTCAGTTCCTGAAATTCTGAAACAATGGTGTGTAATATGATTCATCTACATGGGCTCTCTTCTTTTTCATCTCACTAAACCCTAATTTTATCTGTGAAAAAGAAAAAGAAGACTCTCTGTAGTTTTAATTTAACTTTAGCAGTTTGAGCAATGATAGAGCTTTTGAAATGTTGAAACTGAAACAGCAAAGAAGAGGGAGTACAAGGCTCCTACTTCTCAAAGGGAGGTAAGGGGTTCGGACCTCATTGGAAGCAGTGTGTGTGAGTCCCAACTAGGGAAAAAAAAAGAAAAAAAAAAGAAGAGAGAGCCCACCAATAAGAATTACCCAACTGAGGACAAAATAAGCTCTCTGAGCGTCTTGACTAATATTGGCATGGGCGACTTCTATAGATATGGACTTGTAGAGGGAAAGATATATAGTCGGGGGCACCAAAGTGTACGATAACTGTGAACCAAGGATAGGGCTGTGAGATTTTGGCTTGTTTCATACATCGGATCTAGGAAGTGTACAACAATGAAATGGAAAGCTCTGATGCACTCAAAGTTACAAGCAAAGACAATAATCAATATTTTATATTTATAACTTACTTTGCTAATCTAATATGATACTACATATATCATACATATATATATATATTAATTATTGTCTTTGCATACATATATATATATGTATACATATATATATACATACATATATATACATACATATATATATGTTTGTAACTTTATACTTAGATATATTTTGATTTAGCCCACCCCATTGAGAAATCCTGGATCCGCCCTTGGCCCTAGTGAGCTGAGCCAGAACATGTTGGAGCTCTGTTCTGCTCGGTTCATCTGCAGCCCTACTCCTCTAGCCCAAACCTATCATTGAAGACCATTTCAATAGTTTACTGTGGAAAGAGTTAAACACTTCTTATTGATCATTTTCTGCATTTACACTCGAGAGTCGTGTATACGTTTTTGATCCTACATGCAAACTCAGAAGTCGTGTATATGCTTATTTTGGTCAAAAAGGGTCTATAATCATTTTCTGTGTTATGTGTGTTCATGGATCCTTCTTTAGATGGAGACACTATCTAAAGAAGAAGCAACAGTTTCATGGGTCTACAAGGTTGTATAGACATTTCACAGGTTTTTTTTAAAGGAAAAAGCTAACAGGGGGTGCCACTGTTCAAAAAATGGCCAACTTTCATCTAGCTGTTAATATATCAAAACTCAGGGGGTGTGAGTGTAATTAACCCAATTTCTCTTTTCATTTAAAGACTCCGTAGATTTCATTCATAATTCCTGATCCATTTATGAATAGATCAATTAATTTGTACCATTCCTGATTTTTATATGATTTTTTTGAATTTATTTTTTTATTCCAAGGAAGTTTAAAAATAACTTTCATACTTCACATTTGATTTTGCTATTCTGACTTAATTTGCAACTTAATCCCAATTTATCTACCAGTTCTCAGTTTTTCGCTGTACTAAATAGATTCTGAGTGTGTCCATATGATAATAAACTGCACATGCAGGATACGAGCTTAAAATTTTCTGGCTATGCTTAACACATTGTATTCTTTTTGCTGAATGCGATTTGATAATTTAAATGATTCGGAATGTGTAATGAAATGCAATTTATGATTGGTGCGTGATCTTGATAACTGCATATCGACTTTTTATTTCGTGTTCCTGCGATGGGAGGGGTGTGTGTAATTTTTAATTCATTTGTTCTTCTGAGTCAAGTTCTTATGTGCAAGTCTCTCAGGAAGTTGAAACTCCAAGTTGTCTGCCAGAAAGCCCAAATCTAAATCACTCAATTAATAGTTAAAGAATTACGTAGCTTGTTCAGGGATGAAAATGTACTTTTTTTCCCCCTGGGGCTTTGATGATCTAAAACCGGAAAAAGATAATTGATTACCAATATGAGAGGTTTTTCTTTCTCTCTCTCTCCCCCCAACCCAAAAGCCAATAAAATGTTTTATTAATATAAATCAGAAATTCAAACAATCAGTCTCCTACAGCTTTTCTCACCCCTAACGGAAGAGAATCTAGGTTATTACAACTACAGCCATTCCTTAATGCCTTCCTTGCCAAGTGAGCTGCCATATTAGCTTTCTGTCTGATATGCTTCAACTCCTCAAAAAGAGCTAACATCTTGTTAATGTCTTGAATAATATTGAGTTGGATGATATTACATGAGCATGCCTGTTATAGCACCAATCTCCAACTTAGCATTATTTCCAAAGACGACTTTCTGCAAGATCAATTCAATCACACACTGAACAGCCGATCGAAGGATTAGTGCTTCAGCCCACATCTTCAATATTTTGCAAATATTTCATTGCAGCATGAAGAGCACCACCAGAAGACCATCTCACAAAATCTTCCCCTTGCTTTATTCACTTTCTTGTTAAAGGATGCATGATGCATCCACTTATACCTTGCACCATCCATTATCTGGGGGTTTCTCCAGCATTACTACAGATTCTCTGTTATCATCGCTTAACATTGCTCCTACTGCTAAATTCCAGTTCTGTTTCCTTCAAAACATTCCGATATTCATGAAATTGCTTTCTTTGTTAATCTCGAGTTCCCAACATTCTCCATAAACTGTGTCATTGGGTGTTTCGGCAAACTATTAGTTTTTATATTTTTCTCAAACACTTGGTGTGTAACTGAATATAGCAAAAATAACTACAATAGTGTGTGCTAAAAGCAAAACTCAAAGATAAATAAATAGGGTTAGGGAAATGCAAACACAAGGACACCAAATCTTTATGTGGTTCAGCTCCCCCACCTACGTCCACGCCCCTAGAGCACTTCTTGTGGATTCCCAAAATGCACTATCTCACTCTCCTTCACAGGTGAAGAGAAAAGCTTTACAGAGCTCCTCAAGCTTGTCTCTCTTTGCTAAGTGAGCACCTCACTTACTTTGAGGGTTACACTAGCCCTTGACAACAATGACAAGAATGATAAGAGTTTGAGCACAACAGTAGATGCCACTCAATGGACTAATATACAACTCAAAGCTCACTACAATTATCCCTCAATGAATAGATATACAAATCAAAGCTCTCTCTCCAGAGTAATAGATGAAGCAAGTAATGAAAGCTCAGCTCTAGATGAAAATAACAAATATCTCTAAGATTTTCAAATATGATGTAAGATTTTGCAAGAGGTTTACCCCAAAATGAGTATGCGTATAAGTTGCTCAAAAGGGAAGGGACCTCTTATTTATAGCCTCATTGGGAAATGTGTCGGTTGGAGTACTTTTAAGAAGTTGTTTTGAAACAGGTTTATAAAAATGTGTATAGGACCTCTTATTTATAGCCTCATTGGGAAATGTGTCCATTGGAGTACTTTTAAGAAGTTGTTTTGAAACAGGTTTATAAAAACGTGTATAGGATTCCATGTAGACATCTATTCCATGTAGCTCTCATTACGTTTTGCAGGAAAGCCAAGATTTCCTTCTTGGATCTCCCTCGTTATGATTCCCTGATAAAGAGCATAATTTCTCTCTTAAAATTCTGTATTTACTTCTGAAGAAGATAGCAGAATTATCAAAATTCACTTCTTGCCCACATATGCCACTTCATACCATTGTAACAATCCTTTTAATATATGCACCTCATTACTAGTTTGCCTTGCAAAACAGTAGTCATCCACAAAAAGGTGTGTAATCTCTGGAGCTCTTCTGCATATTTTAACACCCGAAATCTAACCTATAGCACTTGCATTTGCCATTTCCCTTGATAAGCCTTTTGCACATGTTAAGAAAAGGTGATGAGATAATGGATGTCGTCACTATCAGAAAGAGTAAAAAGAAGTGTTAAAAAATTGGGCTTATTTCAGCAGCTTATTGTGATGGTCTTTTTTATTGGGTTACCCATGAATTTTTCATCACTTCTATGTAATAAAGCTCTGTAATACCAACATTGTGCCCAATTGATGTTTCCAAATTTTCATCTCAGGCTTTGAAATTAGTCAGATTATGAATTATTATTATGTAGATTTGTGAGTGAGAGAGAGAGAGAGAGAGAGAGAGAGAGAGAGAGAGATTATGAATTATTATTATGTAGATTTGTGAGTGGAGAGAGAGAGTCTGTTCTTATCATTCAGCATGTTGTAGTAGTCTACCCGACAATGAGTCCTATGGGTTCATCAAATCCCGTGATCTTGGATGGTATTCTCAAATGTTGTAGGTTGATCGAGTCCAGAGGTATTTAAAATCCCAGAAATGGGCCTAAATAAGATTTCAAAATCTTCAGGTCTTTGGAATATATCCCTGAAATCTCATGTAAAAGACATGACTTAAAAGAAATAAGAATTTGATTCTTGATTGTCGTGTCTATAGATTTCTCATTCCTCTCAGAAATCATTTGCTTTACCCATATTCTTGATGCAGATTTCTTAAGTAGGACTTGATTTGTCTGGTGGTGCCCTGCTTGTTTGTGCACAATTAAGTTGCCACATACTACCTTCCATGGTAGTATGTCCAATGGATGCCATATAATTTCATGTTTGTTTGTGTGTGTATATATACTTCCATCTTCTGCATAGCTTTTCTTCGTGTTGCATGCTCTCTCTGTCTCTGTCTTTGTGGATCAGTTTCTATATATTGATGTTCTTTTGTATCTCTCTGGAATATACCAGTATGGGCTTGGTACAGGCAAACAGTTATCAGCAAGCAGCAGAACAGCTGGCAGAAGAAAGGAGTCGTTGCAGCATCATTTGATGTTCATCCGAGTTATGCTCAAATTCGAAATTGGCTCAGTTCTGGAAACTGAATTTATTCTACTGGTGCTAGAAACATTGTATTTTCAGACGACAATTTCTTTCCTTATTGACGAGTTTGTGTACAAAACCCCTCTTGCAGAAGCTTCACTCATTTACACCTCCCTGCTACTCTTCGGTCTCTTCTCAAATAGACATCGTTTCTACCATTATCTCCATTGCCAATATGCTACGTTCTGTTTTTTTTCATGAAACTGACAATGTGTTACAGATTTTGTATGAAGCCGTGAGTTGCATTCAGCTGGTTTAATTGTAAAATTGAGACACACTGGCAATTGCAAAGATTGAACTCCTCAAGTAATTGAGTTTTCATAATGTAAATCTATGCAGATGTAATATATTGATCTAATTGAACTCTGTATAGAAAAATGGAACATGTTGCTCTGTTTTCATACCTAATTCCGTTATTTATTCATAATTTTTGTTTTTCCCACCAGGAATGAAAGCAAGTATTAGTTGTTAATTTTTGCAAGTCTTTTTAATTATCAGTAGTTATTCATTTGTTTTGTATTATATATATGTCTATATGTGAGTATGTGTGTATATATATACATGTATAGCTGTATAATTGAGGTCCTAGGTATTGGGTACGTTTTGTCATTTGTTTGATCAATTTCCTTAGATAATGATGATTACACATGCAAGAAATGAATTTTGTCATACCTATTTTAATGAATTAATATTGTGCAATTTCTAAAATAACATGACTAGTGATGGAACTGTAACCAAATAAAGGTAACCCTCTATGCTTGGCCTTGAGAGGAGAGTTTGATGCTGTTTTATTCTACGGAATGGTGGGTTTGAAAGGAGATGAGAAACATAATTGTGTTTGGGGGTAGCATTCGACTTAAGGCCATGTTTGGTAAGCGGGAAGGAAGAGCGAGGGAGGGAATGGAGGATGGATTGTTCAAAGTCATCCCCTCTCGTACAAATCTTGGGTACGAGGGAGAGGACTAGGAGAAGGAGCCTCATCCCTCCGGCACCACTGCTTCGCCCTTCCATCCTAATGTGGGAGGAAATGAAGAGAGAGAGAGATATTGTCCCTTTTTACCCTCATTTAAATTTATAATATATTTTTTTTAATTAATTCCTACTCGCATGTTTTCAAATGCAAACAATATTTAAAAGGGCCAAATTTTATATTATATATATATATTTTTCCCAAGTGAGCTTTTATTAAAAAAACTAAACCAAAACAAGAGAGAAACCCCCACAGAGTACATAGGACTAAACCAGTCCAAAATCCAGCAATCAAGGAAAGTAAAAACCACCAGCAAACACACAGAGTGCCTATACAAAAACACTAACCAACAAAAACCACCCCAGTTCAGCCCCCAAAACTAATAAACAACAACACACCATCTAACAGCCTAATATGCTGAATAGAGGCACAAGGAAAGGAGGCCTGAAGCTTCCCCAGCAGATAGGAAGGTAACTGGACTTCCCCAACAACTCCACACCAGCTAAGGATTTCACATAGATACAACTCAGTCATTTGGAGCATTCAAAATTTCCGAAAGTTTAAGACTCCTCATATCCACTACTTCCCACATAATCAGTCTAACACTATGATCACTACTGCAAGAGACTGAATTAAGAAAATTTTGATTCTTGACTCTTCAAATGGTCCGGGTGAAGTAATATTTGTCTGTAAGTGTATTTCTTAGTGAATCCTGTCAGAACTGAAAAATGAACCAGTCTCCATAGTTCTTGAGCAAAATGAACCAATCAATACTATCTTCAGCTCCAATGCAATTATGCAGACTGCAGTTAGCTTAATACCTCGAATCTGAAGGTTAAGCAGGGAGAGAATCTTGTTTTAATATTTCTTTGTTTTGAAAAATTAAAAAGGCCATTTTTGTATCAAAGAAGAGGGAGTACACTGACTAGGGCTTACCCTGGGGACAAAGTTAACTAGCAATATCGTGAACCAAACTCCTAAAAAACAAAGTTAACTAGCAACAAAAAATATCAGAAACACAAAGTTCCAGTTAAACTAACAGGAATTCAGCAGCAAACTGAAATCCAGGCACACACTTAAACTGCAACCCACCATCAGAACAACAACTACCAATAAGGCCACAGAAAAACTGAAGCTAAACCAGAATGCAGTGAAATATCAACAGCCTAATACGCTAAAAATGTGAATAACTGTACAAACGTGATGATTTGTATCCCAATAAGGCCATGAACATCAAGAGGGAGGAATGTTCCAAACTGCAGCAAATTATTATTAATTTTTTCCCAGTAAGGAAATAATTTGTATATATATATGTGAATAACTGTACAAATGTAACACGTGGTGTCCCTATACATATTAACAGCCTAATATGCTACATATAATCAGGCAGTGTTTCCATTTCTCAACAAAGGAAACCTGCACGGCATCAAAGCTGATTAAAATACAAAACACCAAAGCAAAAGATCTTCAGTCAGGCTGATCATTGGCTTTCAGCATCCAAGATATAGATAGATATCACCATAGCCCTTCCAAAGAGAAATTGACAGGATCCCTTGAATCATTAACTGTTGCAGTTCTCTTCACTCCCCAGTAACGTTGATAGCATTTTGCATTAGGCTGTTGTGCCAATTCCTGGACCTCTTCCATTTTTCTTCTTCTCTTACTGCTGCAATTCACTTCAATTTGTTGTCTATCAAGCCTTCTCTTTGACATAATCTTATAAGGATTTATTTGAAGTTCAAGTGATGAAGTCAGAGGTGATGAAACACGTGCTGTGTTTCTTGTTTCTTCTTTAACATCCTTAGTAGCACTGCCCATAGATGTCACAAAGGAATGGCCCAAGAGCATGTCGGCAGACCACCGTGACTTTGGATCATCAACCAAACACTTCTCCAAGAAATCTTTCGCCTCTTTAGACACCCAGCTTGGAATCTCAGGCAGTTTTTTACCCCAACCGATGTGATACAAAAGATCACAAGGCTGAGTGTGTGGCTCGCAATGCCATGGAGATGTCCCAGTAATCAGCTGTAACACAGTACACCCAAATGCCCAAATATCCGAATGAGGTTGGTATTCTTGATGACGAACCGACTCTGGCGCCAAATACATAGCGGTCCCCCTCAACTTGGGACTTCTCTTCTTTCCAATCTTCATTGCAAGCCCAAAATCAGCAATTTTTGCTATTTCTTTGTCCCTTTTCAAATTCAACCTCGGAATAATAAAACTCTTAGTATCCTCACTCACAAGTAGGATATTATGGGGCTTTATATCACAATGAACGTAACCCATCTTGTGAATGTAACTGAGACCAATGAGAACCGTTTTTGTGTATTGCTTGACCTAAAACTCTGACAATCCTTTACCACCGGACCCCTCTACACGGTCAGCCAAGCTACCGCCGGATGCAAACTCCAGCATTATATTGTACAGAGTAATTCCTTTCTCAGTCGTAAGCCCGTCCCCGAAACAGCTAAGAATGTAAGGACAGCCTTCAAGTTGCTGAAGAATCCTTTTCTCTTTGGCAAGGGAGTGTGAGACAGAGATCTCTGCAGATTTGACAGCCATAAAAATACCTTCCTGATATTCCTTTGCTAAAGACACCACACCAAAGCTCCCCATCCCCAATTTTCTTCCTCGCATCCACAGCATCTTCCTTTCCATCTCTCTGTTCCTGATATTGATGATGATGATGATCAAGCAATTAGAAGGAAATCTTGAGGAATTGATGATGATGATGATGATGATACAGCAATTAGAAGGAAAAGAACTCCTCCTTAATTTGGTGAAGAATTGATGATGATGATGATAAAGCAATTAGAAGTATGAAACTTTCGTATTAAGTCTTACAGATTACTTAAATGGCAGGAAGATATTCCAATTGGTGATGATGATAAAGCAATTGCACTTCTTTTAAATTTGAGAGGAGGGCACGAATTTATTCTTCAGAATATTGATAATAACCGTTGGAAAGACAAGGACATAAGAATTAACGGAGAGCGTTAATTACCAAGATTGAAGCTTTGAGTTTGAGAGAGAGACACAGTAATCAAGCCGAGATGGTGTTGAAGGAAGCCACGCCTAACCCTATAATGGGTTCTTCTGATCAAGTCTAAACCAAGAAAGAGAGACAGACTGAATCGCGAAACCAACAAGCTTAAAAGGATTCTTCTGTAATCAATCAGAGATGGTGTTGAAGGGACTGATTCGTGACGTAACAATTGCAATAGGGTTTCAATCTCTGTGTTTTCAATCAGCGTGTGTCTGAGAGAGCGAGCAACGGTTATATGTTTTCAATCAGAAAGCGACTAATTCGTGAAGTAACAATTGCAGTAGGGTTTCAATCTGTGTGAGTGTGTGTTTGTGGGTTTCAATCTGCCAACGGCTATATGTTTTGATCTTGTGTGTGTGATAAGAGAGAGAAAGCAACGGATATATGTTTTCTAATTTTGGTTGTTGGTTTCACAAATTGCTCGTTACGGGACTCGACCCCTCAACTCGTAAGTGTTAATCATGGTGCAGTTCAAAAGGACTCAAAACCCATTCCATTTCCAAAACCCTAACGGGGGCTTTTGATCAGTCATAAATGGTATTCGTTGGGTATTTGACCGTCCGTTTCAAAAAATTGGGGCACCAAAGGAAAAGGTAAAGGTAACATAGCCAAAGGTAACGCTTACCATATTATGTATGTATGTATGTATATCTTATCATATTATTACATATATGGCGTCGATTTAGTGTGTGTGTGTATATATATATATAATATAAGGGTAAACAGTAATATATATAAGGGTAATATATATATAAGGATATTATCGGAAGAGAAATGAGTATTTTTAAAATTTTATATCTTTGCAGTAATTTCAATCCATTCTTTGCTCATTTTTCATACTTAAGGGATTTATATACACAACATAAACCTTTCTTTACTCATTTTTTTTTTCAAGCTTAACGGATTTATATACACAACATAAAGGATAAAGGTGTCATTTGCCCTAAATGTAAATATTAGGGGTGTTTTTCCCACTTTACCCAATCATTTTTCTTGTGCAAATTAAATTTTCTTTTATTTACTTTTTCTCGTTTTAGCAACTCATAAAATTAAACCCTCAAATTTTTATATTTTTGTATATTTTTTTGGGTAAGGTAATATATATATATATATATATATATATATATATATAACCTCCCATGAGGTTTTAGCAAATTATACACAGGTGACCTACTAGAAATCAAGGCACGGAATAAAGGGAGACAAACCTCCTGAGTACAATCAAATGAAAGAAGCAAAGTGTAGCATGAGGAGGTCTATACTCTATATCAGGACACCCAAGAGACAATTATAAGACTGGGAGTTCCATCATAAATTTAGAAGAAAACATTTTAGGATTCTATGAAGTTGATACTTCCAATTGTTTCTTGCATAGTTGTTGCTAGTCATCTGAGGAGATGGTTAAGCTCATTAGATTGAGGCCATTCGAGACCTTCCTTGACGGAAATGCACCAGAGATGAGACACTATTTCTCTGAGCTAGACTCCTTGGAAACACGACATTCAGAGTTTGGAGTATGCTAAAATATAAAGCAGTGTCTGGTAATTTGCTCAGACAACCCTGTCATGGTAATAGATAAAAAGTGGAGTTAGCCAAGTATGACCAATCAACTTATACAACTTTAATCCAGTTCGGATATCGTCAAGCGATTTACTAGTTGGACTTTGGAACTTAGTAAGCTCAAGGTCTGAAGTTCGAATCTCACCAGGTGTTCTTTGTGACTAGCGTTCGCTACCTCTGCAGTGACTTATCCGGCCTGGGTAGGGAGGTGCCCTTCGAAGTCCTCGGGAATTAGTCTGGTTATTGAGGGGTTTTAAGGGTTCGTATCATCCCGGACACCTTGGGTAAACTAAAAAAAAAAAAAAAAAAAAAAAACTTATACAACTTTATGAACTAATACCATATATAAAAAATTAAATGAATAATTTACCAGCCGAGTTTCTTGCCTTAATTTAAAGGTATTATCGTCATAGATAACCAAATCACTAAATTGAAGCCAGGTGAGAATATTGCCCCAATCAGTAGGCAACTGATATTAATTCCTTCCCAAGAAAATCATTCAAGATGTAGTGGATTCAATAGATACAAATGGGCCCTTTTTGTAAATAGAATTCCGAATAAGACAATAAATAAAATATTAAGTTGGTTTTTTTTTTTTTTGTTTTTTGCAATTCTAAGTCCGAATTAGATTTATTTTAACAAAATTAAATAAGAAAATTATCTGTCAGAGCCTACTAAAGTTTGCATACAATCAAAATATAGAGCAATGTGCTTGAAATTCAATATATTAGTACAAGATCAACTTTGGAGAACAATAATTATGGAAAAAAAAAATACGGTTTGTACGGGGAGTTTGAAGGGAAAATATGGCTTATTTTATGTATGCAGTCATAAAATGAGATTAAGAGAAGTTTAATAGGGGTTGAGACAGGTTTGGTGGAGAATAAGAACAGGGTGGGAGAATCATCCATTTATCTAACAAATTTACCTAAGATCCTTTATTTTTAATTTAATTACTATTCTGATTTTTTTTTTTTTTTTTTTCGGAGGTTGAAGCAAACATGTACACCCATTGAGGTTGAGGGACTTGAACCCTCAACCTCCCCCATTTGAGAAAGAAAGGTTATGCTATTGGGCTGCAAGCCTTTTAATTACTAAAATTTAAGAACTATATAAACATTACACTAATCTCAAATTATTTTTCTTTTTTTTTCAAATTATCTTTTTTGAAAGTTAAAGGCTTACAGCAAACACGCATGCACATGCCCACGTACAATAAGTACTTAGTAAGACTCAAACTCTTAACATCCCATTTGAAAATGATCGATCATACCATTTAGACTAGAGTCCTCATAGTGTTTTATATGTTCATAGCATGGTGATAATATAATGCTAAAAAATTGTAGTTAATGGTCCACCGGTGCAAAATAATAATAAATAATAACGGTTCACCGGTATAAAACAATATATTTTACTTTACATTTTTTTTAAAAAAAAAAATACGTCAATAAATATTTTTTGTATGTATTGGTGTTTTATCTAGAGAATTAGTGATAAAATATTGTCCTATACAAGAGTTGTTAGTAGAGAGCACTAGCATATGTTCTAGAATAACCAAATTTTGTCGATACATGCGATATCTAGCTCATTCTATTTCCGTGGTGGAACTTTCAGTTGCACTTGTTAAACTTGCCTAAAGTTAATTTTAACACGTTTTTTTTTAATGCAATTCTAAGTCCGAAATAGATTTATTTTAACAAAATTGAGTGAAAATTATTTGTCACAACCTACTAAAGTTTTCATACAATTAAAATATAAATCAATGTGCTTGAAATCCAATACATAAGTACAAGATCGACTTTGGAGAACAATAATTATTAGAAAAATATAAATTGTTCGTACGGGAGTTTGAACGAAAAAGATGACTTATTTTATGTATCGGAGCCACTATAAGAAACTACGAAAATAATTATATTATCTAAATGGCAAAGTGCAAGAGTAAGCAAGTATTCTGGGGATGACAATTTTATATAAGCCAATGGGTACCAGCCTTGGATTGGATTAAGAGAAGTTTAATAGGGGTTGAGACATGTTTGGTGGAGAATATGAGCAGGGTGGGAGAAATATCCAATTATCTAACAAATTTATCTAAGATCCCTTATTTTTTTATTTAATTACATTTTTTTTTTTTTTGGAAATTAAAGCAAACAAATATACCCATTGAGGTTGAGGGACTTGAACTCTTCATCTCTGCCATTTGGGAAAGAAAGGTTATACCATTATGCTACAAGCCTTTTAATTACTAAACTTATATAAGTGCAAGCCCAACGGTAGAGCATGTATTGTTTGTGGCATTTGACCTGTGCTGAAACCCATCAGCATCATTCCCCCTCCCCCTTAACCTATAATTCCCTAATCCCCCTAACCATTGCCAAGTCAAAATGAAACTTTAAGAACTATATAAACATTACACTAATCTCAAATTATTTTTCTTTCTTTTTTCAATAAATTTTTTTTCCCGAAAGTCAAAGGCTTAAAGCAAACACGCACATGCCCACAATAATCCATGGCAGCGCTCAAACTCTCAGCATCCCCTTTGAGAAGGATAGATCATGCCATTTAGACTGAAGTTCTGGTGGTATTTTATATGTTCATACAATGGTAATAATATATATATATATATATATATATATATATATAAGAGTAGCTTAAAAAAAATGTAGAGAAAGGATTAAGGCAA